CTTCCGATGGCGTCGAGGGAGGTGTCGAGTCACCCTCGGCGGCGCCTACTTTCCCTGACGGGGTTTCCCCTTGGTGGGGCAATGTGCAGCATCGTGGATGGTGCTGTTGCACCAAAGGCAGTAACGGTACTTGAGTCTCGTGCGATAAGAATTTGCCGAGAGTCCGTATTGTGCCCAAGGGGTCTCCTTTGCCTTATTGATCTTCGGACAGCTATTTCAGGGGCTAAGGTCCCATTGATCTGTACCCTAGTAGAGGCATCGCCGCAAAGAATGTTCTGAAATTTGCACCAATACTAGATTTCTCCAAGCAGCTATCCAGGCCTTCCCAGCCAACACCGTCATAGACTTTCTCAAAATCGATAGAACCTAGGGCTCGATTGGCCTTTCCCTGTCGCAAAACTACGAGAACCTCGTTCATTAGTAGGGTATTATCGAATATGTTTCTTCCTTCCAAACCTTGTATGCTTGGGCTGGATTATTGACTCCATCGATCCTCTTAACCTGTTTGCTAGGGCTGTGAAAATCATCTTGCAGACCGCGGTTAATAAGAAAATACTAAAATAGGCTAATAGGCCTGTTATTCCTTACATTCATTTTGTCTCCTTTCTTCCTTGGAAGTGACAGCAACCCCTGATCCACTAGTTCCCCAACAATCCTTCTTTTGAACTTCATTGACATAATCCATCAAGTCGGGTCCTAACAATTCCCAAATGGTCTCCCAAAAATTCCTTTGGGAACGAATCAATGCCCGGGGCGTTTTCCTCATCCATTTGTAAAAGATCAGTCCAAATTTCATCCTTGGTCAATGACTGGTCCAACTTGTTTTTCAGACAATCAGATATAGTTTTGACTTTTGAGTCTTTTGACAAGTAGTAAAAGAAACTCACTGACATTTGCTCTCCTCCTGTCCAGATCAGTTTCGTCCCGATCAGTTTAATGAACTTCAATCAATTTTGGACTCAAAGAGGTTTTGAAAAAAGGTTTTATCAAATTTCATACAAACAGTTGTGTAAGCTGGGGGTAGCCCGGTAACTGCGAATTCTTTGAATCTAGAAAAACCTCAATGACTATCCTTCGAGGGAGAACTCCTTCCCATTGAAATTTGTTCATTTTTACTCTGATTCACATTCCCTGCCATCGATGTTCAAATTTTTCCGACAATTGTGTTCTTGTTGATGCTCTTATGCTTTTTTTTTTTTTTTTGAGGATGAAGGGAATGCTATGTTTTTGTTTTTATTTTCGCGTCTGCTTCTCCTTCTCCTTCTCTTTCTCCTTCTTCTTCTTCTTCTTCTTCTTCTTCTTCTTCTTCTTCGAGGATCAAGGGAATGCAATGTTTCCGGTTTTTTTCCGTCTTCTTCTTTTTCTTCTTCTTGCAATGTTTCTGAGTTGTTTTTTTCTCGTTCTTCTTCTTCTTCTTTCTTCTTCTTCTTCTTCTTCTTCTTCTTCTTCTTTTAGTGGTTGTGGCTCCATCTCCATTCTCGGGGAGCATCATTCCGGTTTCTTTCCACCGGCAACTTCGCCGCAAGTAAAAAACAGGATGCATCAATGCTTACTCTATGCATCCTTCTGTCTGGGGGGATGGGGCATAGGACACTCCCTTCATCCTCGAAAATAGTTGTTCTCCCAGTTCCACTCCCTTCAGTCCCTCTCTCCAATGAGTGTCCTACGCCCCATCACCCCCCAAACAGAAGGATGCATAGAGTAAGTATTGATGGGGCATAGGACACTCATTGGAGAGAGGAACTGAAGGGAGTGGAACTGGGAGACCAACTATTTCGGACTTACGTCACTGAAGCGATCTGAAATCGTCTCCTTACTGGACGAGGCGGAAGGGTGATGCTGGAGTAGCCATGAGGTTGCTGCAGTTTTTGCATTTGCACAATGTGTCCTCCATGAGGTTAAAGCCTCACATAATGTGCTTTTTGTAGTATGCATGAAGTGTGGATTTCCCTTTTTTTCCTTCTTTCATTGTTGATTCCATCCTTCTAACCTCGGCCTTCCCCTCCCTGCGTTCCTCCCTTCCCCTTTGATTCCAATCAAAACTGCTCCCCAAATGAAAAATAATTGCCTGGTTTGTGGTCACACTCTGGACATGACAAGCTCTGGAAAGCCCATGCGTAGCAAAGCATTGCTGATCCACTCAATCATACAGGTAAGCACATAGGTGTTACGGAGCTCTCGAGGTGTTCAACCAAAAAACATGCAGGCCATGGGGAAAAACTTCCGAAAAAGGTCACATGGGAGGTTTGCAACATGAAGAGAGATGATCGTACTGATGACGACAATGATGATGTCGATACTGGTCTGGGGGTCCCCGATAACCAATTCCTGTATCTCTTGCCTTGCACATCGAGAGCTGAGCGTGCAATAACAATCTTCTGGAAGCAAGTCAGCTGGATCCCTTCAGACTTTTTTTTTTTTTTTTTTTTTTTTTTCAAAAACAGGCCTCACCAGTGCTAGTGCTGGCAAGAGAAGACACCGCTAGCACCGGGGGGGGGAGGCTTCAGACTGACTTCCAAACTGCGGAGGGCTGTGTAATGAGGAAAAACGCGCAGAACTTTGATGGGGAGTGGGTAAAGTACAATGATGATGTCGATTCTGGTCTGGGGGTCCCCGATAACCAATTCCTGTATCTCTTGCCTTGCACATCGAGAGCTGAGCGTGCAATAAGAATCTTCTGGAAGCAAGTCAGAGAGATGTGATTTGGCTTCACTCTCACTGTAAATGCAGTTCAAAATTCAAAATTCAAATCACATGTGCAGACAAGTGTTGCTGCAGACGTCACATCATCCTTTTGCTGCCTATCACCCCTCAAAAGGTGTGTGAGCAGTTCTTATTCCATATTGTTTGTTTGGCACACCTTGCGATTGCGAGCTCCTTCCAACATAACCGAAATTGCATCCTCCATGCTTTCACATTCCACCATAAGTAGACCATCTGCAAAAAAGCCTTCTGATTTACTCCAACGAAGAACTTTTGGGATGCTGCTCAGTCGCAGCAAGTCATTCACCTGCAGCACCGTTCCAACCAACAGTGAGGTTTTCTTTTTTTCTTTTGTTTCTTTTTTTCCCTTTAACAAAAACAAAATATTTTTTCTTTCCGAAAAGCAAAACACCGAATACAGGCCCAAAATCCAAGTCCAGGAGGGTGGCAGGAATTCCCATGGGCCTTGCTCCCTGCCTTGTGCTTTGTTGTCTTGCTGCTTGTTTGTCTTGCTGCTTGCCTATCTTGCTTCTTGTTTCGCTCCTTGCCTTGCTGGCCGCCTGTCGGCCTGCCCAGTGCCTTATTACCTTGCTGCTTGCTGTCCAGCATGCCCGCTGCCTGCCTTACCACTTGCTCCCCCGCCTGCGTGCCTTGCTCCTACCTGCCGGCCAATGCCCATTTCCAGCTGGAATCAAGAAGCAAAATACGACTGAAAGCACCAAAAGGGAGATCTACTGATTTTCAAGGGTTTGGCATCCTGGTGGCTTGGTGGAAGCCCAACAAAACACCCTTGGCATACTCCGCGTCCCTCCTTGTGTGTGTGTTATAGATTTTCCCCACAACAGCCCCAATTCCACCCAGGTGAATAGATTCAGAATCAAAGCAGTCTTTGTCCTATTACAGACAACGAGAACAGTTGAGATGAGACAGTCCAACATATTAAAGCAATTTTATAACGAGACAGTTTATTGGTTGTCCTTGGGGTACCCCTTCCATTTGTTCTTGCAGCTTCCCTTTTACTGTGCCTCTTACGTACAAGGCTGCCCACGTTGATTGTGGTTGAGCGGCAGCTGCCCACATCCCTGTGTGCCTTGACGGCCGACTTGCACGTTATTTCAGGAGGCAGAGTAAAAGGGAAGGTATGCTCCTGTGCATTTCTCTTCAGGCCTTCATACTCCTGTTCATTTCACTTCAGATCTTCAGCTTATACTTAGTCTTTGTTTCCGTCCTTCATCCTCATGCTTCGTTCATTTCATTTAGTCTTTGTGTCCGTCCTTCATCTTCATACTTCCGTTCATTTCATTTCTGATCTTGATATCGTCTCTTCTCTTAGCGATGCTCATTTGTATGTATTTGTTAGTAGCACAAAGGGAGTGGAGGGGAACATGTTGGGTTGAGGAGCAGTTAATGCCTATGGCAAGCGGCCAACCCTACAGACCGGACAGGACCGGTTCGGGTGTGGACTATGGAAGCACCGCATCCAATTCTTGCAGTCACAGTTGCTACATCGAATGGCGCGGCGCAGACAGATGTCACAGGCTACGTGGCTCCTACATGCTAGGAACACAGAGGCACATGGACCGCAATTATAGAGGCATTGCCGTTCCAGCCCCTGTCTACAAATCGGACATGACATGTCCGGGTGCCGTACATGAGTACAGTACTGACTGTCGTCGTACGTATGGAAGCCAAAACTCGCATGGACTGTCCCTTCATAATCCTCGCGGCACAAGGCGTGCGAACCACATGCTAGTTGAATCTACGGCGGGTCATCAGAAAGCGGCATGGAGCATCTTTCTTGGGCTTCCTCAGTATTTATTCCTTCTCTATGGGCAGACGACGACAGGGAGGATCGGTCCAAAGCAAGGGCGTTCAGCTTCTGCAGGATTTGGTCCACAGCAACTTCCCCTGGTGGTGATAAACTATGAGCACATCGCTCTGCCAGTGGTTCATATAGATGTCTATTTCCCTCCTCGGACTGCTGTGTCTGTTGTTCGTCTGGCAAGAAAGAGGGAGATCAGTCAGCAGTTGTCGTAGGTGTATGACCAGCACCACATGTGGGACATGCTAGGAGAGGATGTGGAGGGTGATGGCACCGGGGATAGTCCACGCAGTAAAGACACATACTTTCTATGACAGCTTCCTGGAAGCATTGATGACACATGGCATGTTGCTGACATGTCATTAGTATGGAAGGCTGACGTGCACAGTTATTTAAGCATGGCAGATCAAGGCCACCATGGCATGCTGGGCAAGTAATCAGGGGGTGAGGGGGATGAGCACAGGACAGGGGATCACAGTTTTCGTGTGAGAGGCTAGCAGTGTCCATCCCTTCATAGTGTTCGGAGCAGAGGCTATGCCGTGTACACGCCAACCGAACTGCACCTGTGCGATGACACAACAGGAGGGCACAGCCACCATCCTCTGGAGAGGTCCTTTCACTGTTTGTGGTAGAATCAGCCGGATTGCTCTCCGGGGGCTGCAGTGCTTGCAAGTGCTCATCGACATACTGTTCCTGATGGATGAGCCAGACTGAATGATCCTCCAGCATTTGGTGATAGAAAGAGTTAATATTTCCCACTGTGTGCACCCTACCGCCATTATCCCATAGGGTCCATGAATTATCTGCAAAGGTAAGAGCACTGAAATGACCTGGACGATATAAGATATATGCCCGAATATTTGGATCCCTGCCTAGCACGTGGTTTTGCGGAGCAGGCTGGAATTGCAGTTGCCTACCCATAAATCCCATAGCCAGGACTTCTATGTTCACACCAGGTGCAGTGCTGTCGTCCTCTGGGCAAACGGCACGGTGCTCTTCTTCTATCCTGCGAACAACGTCTGCGAAATCAGAAAGAGTATAAGGATTACAATTGTAAGCAAGGAGACATACATTAATGGCATAGTATGCACAGCGCCCTCGCTGTAGCGCTATGACATTGTCTGATTCCGCAGGTTACGTGGGGGATACGTTCACGGCAGGGGGAGACTTGTTCGATTCTGCGGGTTGCACTGGTGGCGGAGACTCTTTGTGATCTTGACCAATTGGCTCCGGTATGTGCTCCGGAGAGAGATGATCTTCATCCGGGGGCTCCATCAGGTAATCAGGAGACGGGGCATTGTCATTTGGGGCAGGGGAGCAAGCAGGGCTAGGTGGACGAGAGAGGGGCGGGTCAGGTGGGTGAGAACTGGGTGGACCAGATGTGGGTGCTCAGGGCGGCTGCTAGCCGTGCAAACGCTGCACAAGTAGCTGCACCTCGTGTCTGGTGCACTCGCAAGCCTCCAGCACAGAAGAAATCATCGCCACCTTGCGGGAATCGGACTTGATGTGCACTATTCCTCGCTCATGTATATTGAAAGCGACAATGTCGTTCCGTACGGTTGCGAGCATGTCGTCAGAGCAGATCTCTAACCCCTGCAGGGGGCGCGGTGATCATGCCATCAATGACAAACAAGGTCGCTGTCTTGGAGGTTGTGGTGGAGACGGGGAATGTCTCCGCCGAAGAGGCAGCTGTAACGATCGATCTGACGGCGGATGTCTCGGCCGACAGGGCCTTTGTGACGACCGATCTGACCATGAATGTGTTGATGATGAGGTCGATGATGAGGAAGTATCGGAGGGAGGGGAGGAAGAGGGAGAAGAGGAAGAAGAAGTAGGGGGAGAGGAAAAAGAAGAAGAGGCAGATGACTGAGAGGATGCTGCAACAGAGGACGTCGGTGGGGGTGGCGGTGCTGACGGTGGTGGTGCTGCTGATGATGATGGCAGCAATGACAGCGATGGCGGTGGTGGTGGTGGTGGTGGTCGTG